AATATTTGAAAGAGAGTTTACGAAGAAAATCCAAATAGAGACGCTAAGTTTGAGCAAGTCTTCTGTAAAGAAATCTTCTTGCGAGAAAGTTTAGAAGAGAGGGAAAAAGATCGAGCTGCATATTTGCATGTCTATTTATCATGCAACAGAAAAGTCTTTTGGGCAAACTTTGGAGTCTCACACAAGCTTATTGCTATACAAGAATGCTTAGGAGTGAATCGTCGTGTATAATACGAATTTATTATACACGTAACTAATCGCCACAGGAGAGTATGGAAAACTCCGAGGGATATTCATAATACAATGAATTACGAATGTGTAAATATTGGATGGAATTTGGTCGTTGAAAAGTTTCTTCCAATTCAGAGAGAGAGACAAAACGTGGAAATTTCGGTGGTTGAATTTTTCCCGGCTTTTCTTTTCCCAGCCAACGCACACAAACACACTTTTGAGGCTGTGAAGGAATAAGGCATTTCTCTCCCCCACAATCTTTATTGCCACTAAAAGTTATCATTTATATTCAAATGTTATACATTGCCAACAGGAAAAGTTTTCCTTTTTCCTGGGCATTTTCACCCAGAGAAAACATTGGGCCAGAGGCACTGGTGGTGCGATGGATGTACTTCCCAAGTGGCACCAGTGGAGGAAAAGATGAAGAAAATCGCTGTCGACCAGAGTATTATAATTCTGGAATTAATTTAACATCATAACACTCCCTCTTCCACTTTCACTCACTCCACTTGTTCTCTTTGGCCAAGCATCAGCGAATCTCATCCTCATCAGGAGCAAGAGAACATCACAACGACAAAAATACATTTCAATGGAGCCATTCTCTACTTTCTTTGTTACGCTCAGGCTAAATTTTCCCGCCATCCGCCGATAAGGGATGCAAATTTCGTGCCTTTGTGATTTTAATTCGCTCAACTTTCTCCCTTTTTGGCACACACTTATTATTATTATTATTTACACAGTGAATAAAAGGGATACCGGAGGAAGGGGTGGAAAACTTGAGGGTAGAGCCACTCATTTCAAATGATAATTTCCTTTTATGTTCACTATCAAAAGTACGCCTGTGAAAAGTGTAAAATGTGTCTATGTGGCTTTCTTTATTGTGTGTCGAAAGCCGTTGATAAAAACCAAGGGGTTTGTCTGCGGGACCAGAATTAACGAAATTTCTTGCTCAATGGACGATGATGCTGAAGAGGAAATTGCGCAATTGCACCACCACACAATGTATCTGCCACTTCTTTCACAGGGCGCCTGGCACACACAAAAAACCACCCCATTCAACTATCCATCCCCTAATGTCAGTCCTCGAACCTTATCGCAGGACACCAATACGAATTGGCAGGAGAAGCGAAATGCGACAAATACGAAAATATTGTTTGCCTTCGAGGGGTTAACCTCTCACTCCAGCCCTTGTTCGCCATCCCTAATACCTCTAATGACTCTCTCAATCGCAGCTCTAATCTCCCCAGACATCCCGATTCGCTCCTGATTTCCTTTTACCCACCCAAACACAATTGTTGAGACATAATGAGTGCAATAACATCTCGGATTCATCGTGGGAGCAAACAATTTGAAATTAATTTGGAGTTTGTTCATTATGAATCTTAAAGAAGTTTCCTCATCCCTCAAGGAATTATGAATATCCCTTTCGCGCGCGCATTCCTGCGGGAAGATACGCAGCGAGGGTGGGATTTCGCGTGAGGAATTCTTGACTTTTGTGGCAGCTCTGTTGAGTTGTGAAGAAAAGTAAATTGCTTTGAGACAGTTTGTTTATGTAGGTATCTCAAGTATGTATATACATATGACAGGAATATTTTCAAATATGAAATGAAGCAACGGAGTGTGACGACCTGAGATTTGTTGTAAATCAGATCTAACTTGATGCTCACTTGGCAAAGTTCTTATGACTCTTGCATATTAATAATAATTGTTTACTTCGCCAAAATCATTGCGATGTTCGCGATGTCTTCGCCCGAAGTATCAAACTGTAATATAACTGTGCTCCGTGGGAATTGTTCATCTGCAAATGAATGCAATAAATATCCTTTTCGCCACCATCTCTACAAATTCTTGCGTGCAGCGAAGTGACACTTGTAAATTTATGCTCGGCACATAAACTGCAACACGGCATTGTGTCCGCAGAGTGCGTGCGCCACAGTTGAGTGATACACCCCTCGGCAGATTCATCTCCCTCGTGAGGAATCTGTGTGTATATGTATCCCTCGTGCAACCCTTAATCAATTGTTCAAACAGAATTACATTATAAATATGAGAAGTTCGCGCGCGCGTGTGTGTATTTTAGTGGCGAGCATAGAAGTGTACAATAAAATAAAATGTGAGCATAAAGGGCCTCGCAAGTCATTCACTCTCGACTGTCGAACCCAAACCCTCCTAACGTCGGATTCATGTACACGGCTATTCCCACGTGGAGAGACATCTGCTCTCGCCAGCCCATTCCCGACCCCCTGACTCTGGCTCCCAAATGTTGATTCTTCGGGAGTACTTTCTGGTCTTGCGACCCGCACTCAATGCTGCCATTTGAGGTAATCAGGACGCTCCCCAGTTGAAATTTCACCTTGTTTGCCATGTCCGGGCGAAATTGAATTTAAGGCCACTGGCTCTCAGGGGGTGCGAGAGAGAGAGAATAGTGAGAGATAGGGATATGGAAAAAGGGAATTCATAATCTGAACTCACCGCAAATGGACACGTTTCCCAAAAATGTGGAGCACTTGAGCAATTTCTGTCACACTCAACCATTCACTCTTTTAATCCCATAGAGAAACTTTTCAAAACTAGAAAATATATGAGCTGAATGGAGTTTTCATAATATGCACATTCCTCTGCAAACGACAAAAATGGAACAATGATCGTTGGAAGCAAGGGAGAAATCAGATCCAATGTGACGCCTTCAGAGTTTCGCTATTACAATGAAATTTAAACCAAGTGTTGCTTTTAATTCAATTGCAATTTCAGAAAGCATTTGAGCACTATTCCAAGAAATATTCTAGGGCATAAAGAATACGACAAGAAATATAATTTCAAAATTTCCTAACTTTCAAGAAACTTTCCATGGCATCATCTGTGAATGGAGAGACCTTCTCTCTTTGACTTCCTTTATCATCTCTTTCGCCTGTCCAACGTCAAAAACTGTGGATTTGCCTCTCAATTGAGAGGAAGCTCAAAATGTATTAAAATTGGGTGAATTTCTGTACATCAGAGCGCCAAGATAAAAGTCCGTGGATGCGAGAAAAAAATTGATCACACTCGAAACCCAGTGTCATTAATCCGGTTCATTTTATCTTCTCCGCTTCTGGTTCTCAGCATTTCTCAACTCGCCCTGCCTCCCCTCCGAGTATGAATGGCAAGAGATTTTCTTCTTGATTCCATCCAGTTAATTTTTATGTACACTGCGTACATCCAGACCGACATGGCGCTCATGTGAGAATGAAACACATTAATCTAATCTTGATTATCCTCCTGGCAGAACCAGAAGATTCCGTCACATATCAATTAGGCGCCAAATAGCCAGGTAGAAAGGGAAGGAGAGGAAGGCGAATGAATTACGGGACGGCATTTCATGTGGTAGCGCTCAAAACATCGGATATCAGTGAACAATTTTATTATTTTCTCAAAAAGATACAACACGTGAGACATTCACAGCCATTTAATAGACTTTTGGGGTGTGTGTCCATTTGTGAGATAAGCATCCTAATGAAATTTCAACTCAGCATTACCATTCCACAGTCATTTCATTTGGATAATTGCATCCTCACAATATGATAACTAAATTACCACTCTATTCATTCAAATTAATAGACACAGTACTCCTGTGAGGAATAATTTCCGATGCCTTGAGAAATTCAAGAGCGCCTGCATCCATGTAATGAAGATTCAGATTACAGTTTAATGTGGTTTATATAGAGATGAGATCAAGGCAAATTAGGGAAGACATATTCAAATTGCTTTTGCTTTCTGTGTCCCATAAAATTCAACCCTTAACCGCCAAAACTAGTAACAGGAAATTCAATTACACACAGTTAACTGTTGAACGCGTTTCAAACATCTGTTAAGGTTGATCGATTGACAAGACAACACACGGCAATTCCAATAACAGTTCCTTGCAACTTCAACTGGAACGAATTGTGACGCGCATCCCAAGAAGAGTCTTAGCCAGGAATTCCCTTGGAAAATTGGGTTACGACATAGAAGCTCCTCAAACTAATGCATTTTATGACAATAAATCAGACAAAATGTATTCGGCAAAAATACTTTCCGGTGAAAAATTTGTCAGAAATAAATCACAGAGAGTTTGTGGGATCATTTCGTGGTGGAAGGATCTATTTCACCCGAATTTGCCCGGAGAGAATGGGCGTGTTTGACCCGACAATACTTCCTTTCTCATGCTGAAAATGCTCAGCATGGGAAATTTTCTAGTTTGAAAATATAGTTTTACACTAAAATTTTGATAATATCAGTGTTTGGTAGAACCACAATAAATGGGCGAAATTTCTCTGCCTGGCCAAGAGCTTCATATGCAAAATTTGTGTGCCCCAATAATTTTATTGATCAAAAGTGTTTCTGGTTGAATTGGAAAGAATTGCAATATTCATTGGAAAACCTAAAAACCTAAAAACAAAAACAAAAAATTGCTTTTATTCAGAAATTGATTGGATTTAATATCTTTGACAAATTCTACACACAGATTTTTTCGCTCTGTGCAAAGTTCACCCTCAAATCCACCACTTGAGAGCTGAAAGTTTATTAAGCGATTGTGCAAAAAATTGCATTTGTCAATAGTCGTTTGTTCTGGGATTGAATGGGTCGCAATTCGGTTGAAGAATGGCCGCTGTGCAAGGACTTTTGCAATTGACTTAATGCAATTGCTCACTGTAATTATTGTACGCGAGATTGAGTGATTTTGTCGTGGCGAATTCTCTGTGGCAAATTCTTTCCGCGAAAGGGGATGTGAAAATCTTTTGCTCAAAACTTACTCTCTAGTGGCTCCTTTGTCCGCAATTATCCATTCAGATTCGCCCTCCTCGTCGTTTTTATTATTTTCCCACTGTATTATTTTTCACCACTCTCTGTGTTTTATCGCAATCATCCACTTCTTTTGCCACCCCAAAAGAATGTCCCCTCGAGGGTGGGAAAAAAATATTACCCAGACCAAGACGCTCTCCAAGCAGTTCGTCAATGAGGCCCTGAGAGTTTGCTGTATAGAGAATAGCAAAAGGAAATAAAATCTGATACACTTGAGTTATTTCAGCTATTTCACTCTTTTTTATTATTATTTTACACTCCCGCAGACACTGAGCTCGAAGCGAGAATTTTCCAGTATATTTTTCATATGCGATTCCTCTTCAGTGCCACTCTTATTATTTCATTTATTGCGAATATTTCTTCTCTATCTCACGTCCTCTTCACAGAGAATAATCCACTGGCAGATAATTCAAAAGTACAGCAATCATTTTTATTTTCCCATTACATCTTCATGTTTTCTCATTGGGTTTTTTTGGCCGCCAGCGCGCCTCTTGTTTTTTTTTCAAGATTTTTTTTCTTTCTCCCTCTCTAGAGGAACTCTGTCGTCTCCCGTGAATTGAAAAGTGAAAACTTCAGCGAATTTTCGTCGCGCCACCCCTTTGAGTATAGTTTATCGAACCTTCGACCTCTTTTGCACAGAAGGGGAGGAACAGTGGCAGGAAGACGCGTCACATATAATCACTTCCGTCGTCGAGTCACCAAGTCTTCAAATGAGATTTGCACACAAGAAACTGTGTAATTTTTCTTTCTGCCTTCCATCATCTTTCCGCCCACCTATTCGCCCATTTCTTGTCTCTATTCTTTGCCACAAGAAGCCACACTTTTTGCCACTCGTGCCCTGAAATCCGCACACACTCTAATTCGCAACTCTGCAATCCGATCTCGGATACGGGGAAGAAGTCACACGAAAGAGCGGAACTCGCTGCAATTGAAGACGTAGGGTTGAAATACTGGGTCGCGATTGCCTTCCGATGGCTTCAGCTGCTCAACCATCCACTCGCCGAGGGGTTTCGCGTGCAACTGAACAGCGAGGGAACGTTGATGAGGTTTGGACGGAAAGCCAAAGAAGATGAGAGCAGAGAGAGAGAGCAAGAGAGCGTTCCGCCGAAATGATAGTGAGAGAGCGAACCATTGAGAAGAACTCTCAGCGACTCCAGTCATCACATGTCGTAGCGGAATTTTCAGTTTCACCAGCAGCATAGAAGGCAACATAATCACGTTATTTCAACGGAGGAATTAAAATATTCTTAATTCTTTGCTGTATTTCAGAAAAATTACTAACATGACACTAAAAGTCGGTGCGAAATCAACTTCCATTGTTATTATTTGTCAACCAATATGTAAATTCATGTTTGGAAGCGCCACACAATATCTAGGACTTCTTATCAAGTGTGTCTGTGTACACAAATTGTGCAATGATTATATTAGATTTTCAGTCTTAAACAGCTGTTCTTTAGTTAATACGTGAAAATCACTTTCTTATTCAGTCTTCTAGGCGAGATAAGAAACGATGTAATTCTCATAAAATTGGATTTTCCTTCGTAATGCAATTGAATGCATTCCTCACACACTTCTTGCTGTAACATGCAAATTCTACATATTGCACATTATTTTATTTATGATGATAACAATTCGCACAGCGCCAGAACGCAATTGTTGCTCTATCAGAGTAAGTATCTAACATGCTAACATAGAAGCTCGCCTTCCTTTCACATTAATCCGAATGTAATTCTCGGAACATTTCTCAGCAATTCCGCCACAATTCATCGTTTGACAATTGTCTATTGAGGGCTTTTCCACATTTTCCCATGCGAGTGCCACAAATTCGCAAACTTCGGCCGCATCAGCGGAGCTTATCCTCCGCGGAGCAAAAAGCTCAGGCATGTTCTCTGGCGCGTGGCTGTTGTGGAAAAAGCGTAGATTTTCCACCGTGATTTTGAGGAATTCATCCGGATGTTGATTATTTTAATTAGGCACTTGAGCCATAAGGAATTATTCAGGCAGTGCCGATGGGACATGGCAGATACCAGACACACCGAGGGTGATGCTATCACGGCAGAGGCGCACACATGACGATTGCCAGAGAATGGGCTCATTCGCATTATGGTGATGCCTTAAATATGGCCCCCTAAAAAGGGGCCATAAAAAGAGGTCGCCGTGGAAGGACAGAGAATTATTCATAGGAAAATATTTATGGGCATTTATCGTTGGTTAGTTTAAATGCGTCAATAAATTATGCGAATTGTTTATGGGGTGAAGGAAGACATTTTCCTCCTTATATATCCAATTTTCCATGATTTTTCTCACCCACACAAACCCACACTTTGCCGTCCCTGCAAGATTTACGCTCATCTGAGAACTTGGGTGAAATAATTTACTGTCTGCGAATTTAATTATAAATGCACTTTAGTTCTCAATTCACCAATAAATTCTCTCTTGCTCGAGAATTGTGTAAATTTCACTCTATTATCACACAAATTCCTCCAACAGTCTTCTCAGTTTTGTATTGCACACAAATAATGTTGAGTGGCAGAAAAAATGCCTGTTTTCGCAAGTATCTTTGCATCTCCACTCAGAAAGCAATAATTGTCCATTCTTCTTGCCGAACTCCAAAGTTATTCCTGCAATTTTTCACAACATCATTCGCCATTCGTCTCCTCAGTGCACTTGCAGCTTCTCACCAATCTTCTGCATCGTCGTGTGCCAAAAGAAGAGTCACTTCGACGACCTCTTTTCGGGCGGAAATGCGAGAGGCCGCGCGGCATTGAAGGCCCATTGGCATGGATGCGAAACAATTAATTATTCAGCAATTGTCTGCAGAGGAAAATTAATTAAAAGTTTAGCTGGTGAGTCGCTGGTTAAGGAATGGACCCTTTTTATGGACTTCTTTCTCGCCGGAAAATTAATTTCCTCACTCTATCCGTGAAAGGTTGCAATTTATACTAAAAGTCTGTGGCCAGCAGAACAAGGAATGCAATAAAGATTACGGTCTTTAAAGTCAAGCGAGTTAAACGATAATAGAATTATGTTGAATTACATTGATTAAACATGATTCTGTTTAGAGAGATAATTTGAAAGCCGCTGTATTATTCATAAATTTGAAGATATTGAAACACATTCTCTCAATCATCAAATATTCACCACTGTAAATCAATAAATGGTGTCCTTTATCTCCGCATTTGGCAGGAAAAGTGGCATGAAGACAGCCGTGAAGCTCTTATCCCCCCATGAAGGTGAATTATTTTGCAATTAAACTGGCAGATGACTTTTTGTGTGACGCCAGCAAAAAATCACTTAAGAGCACATCTTGGCAAAAATACGACGTTTGCCCCCATTGGCGCAGTTTTTTGCGCGTCACTCAACATGAAATTATGCTAATATGCTGTGCGACAGACATTAGACGCTCAATATGCCATCGCAGACGGAGCAGAGACGTCCCACGCCACAGTGACTCTGTGCGATTGCAAGGAAATCACTGTGATTTTCGTGCTGAAATCACAAAACCACGACCCTTCGTGTCCATCTTTTTCCAGTCTCTTTGCCATGAATTGCACGCGACAGTGGAAAATATCAGCTTTGTGCATGTGATACCCGAGCTGCGTCCGGCATATCGCTGGATTTCAGGGGTGGAGATGAGGTTTTGAGTTCCAATTTGCGCACTCGCGTAGCAAATTTCACCATACAGCTTTTTCCTAGTGCGTTATTGCCATCAATTGCAGTGGGATTTGCCTAGAAGAAAGTGCTTAAGCCTTTGAAGTGCCACCGGAAAATTACTCTGATCTGTTACATGACTGTTCTAGACTTGATATGCTTAGGCAACTTTTCAATGGGGAAATCATTCTTGTACAAGCCATTTATATGCAGAGATCCGGACACTTTGTTTTATTCTATTCCTTTAGAAAATGTCAATAGAATATTAGTTTGGTCTTCTACTTATATTTGTAACTGTTCAAACAAAATTACAATTTTTACATCAATGTTATACTTCTCATTCGCTATCACTTAACTTACTCAAACACTGCAAATAATGTGATTCTCCGATGAATCTGCTGACGTTGCGTTCAATGCAGTGAAAGATGCGATAGTTTCACCCAATTAGGTGTCTAATTAACTCTGGATGAGTAAAGAACTATTCGTAACTTTGAAGAGGCCAATAGAACTTATTAAATTTAATTATATCACTCGCATTCTGTGGCTTTCGGCGAATTCCTCTCCATTCGCTTGCGTTCAATCACACTTTGAAACACCCTTGCAAATATGTGTATCTTTCCCTGAGATTTAGGGGGTGATTTGTGGAGTTGGGTATCGATAAACATCCCAAAACGGCGTCAAATGTAATTTGTGGCCGCCGCTGGCCGAGTATTTGACGTGGCATGATGTGCACTTGATGCTGAAAGTTAATTAAATAAACGATAAGCGCGCCACAAACAATTGATCTCACTGGGAATGGCATGAAATTGATGAGATGCCATCTCAATGCCACAACCATTCCAGGGATGAAACCCATGTCTTCGGCTCTCCCGGTGAGCTTCTGTGCGCGTGTATTTATGGTGCCACCGCCGGGCGATTGAATATTCATCACGGACTATAGGTTTATTGACGAAAATGTATGTTGATTGCGATGGGACAGTCAGATAAGGGCAAAAATGTTGGAGGAAGAGAGCGAGAGGAAGACACTGTCTGTCGGATCTTTTCACTTATTTCCGATCAACGGCTTCCTCATGTTCTTTTCTGCAGTCTCATTGAGAATTCAACGCCGGAGTCGCGCGCGTGTCCAAGACGCAGTGTTTGCCACCCATTCAACATGCACTCAACTATTTACAGTGGAGGAAACAATGCAACGAACTCCATTGCCGCCTGTTCGCAAATGGGAACTCAATTATGTACTGTGGACAAAGTTTTTGTATTTGCTTCTATTATTCCACTCAACAAAGAAAGATATAATCTAATAGGATAAAATGTGAACAGTTTCATAATTCTTCAGCACTTATTTCCTCCAAATCAGACTGAGTGCTTCACTGCTTTCTTCACTTTGAACTTATCGATACGAATTACGTGCGATTTCTTTTTTTTTCTTAAGACAATTTTAAAAATCGAAAGTAAAATAAAAGAAGCTGAATAAGTTTCTAGGATACTCCGCTTGGCTATTTCTCATTGAGTAAACGGTGAAATGGACTGAAGGTAGTGATTTGGTAAACTACAAACTTGCATAATTCCTTTCATTAACAAAGTCAGTTTGTAAACTGTAAAGCCTCTCATTGAGCAGTCGACGGATAATTTCCAGACATAAACAAGGCGAAAATCTAATAAAACTTACGCCCGTCAAGACAAACACGATACCATTAAAGCTCATCTCTCTCGGATTTTCATCCGACATATCTCTTGAAATTAAACTTTTAATACCAATTTTCCTTGCGTTGCCTTCGCAAGCATAAACTTTGAAATTGATCACATTAAAATTGCACATGATTGACTAAAGAGGAAGCCCAGCGACGCTCTTACATTAGAATTTTCTATTAGTCTTCGGGAAAACAATTAGCAGGAGGAGTTCAGAGTACTCACCTGACCGCTTTTCCACAGCTCCTGCGAGTGTCCAACTGAGGGAAGTCCAACGGCGGAATCTCTCTGCGCAATCCACAACACAATCGACAAACAACCCGAGAGGAAGTGCAGGAAGGAGTGAGAATAGGGATGGTGAGTTGTGTTCAATATCTTTTCTGTGTGTGTGGCCGAAGAAGAGCCACAAATGTTGCACAAATAAATTGTTTTATATACACAAAACTCCCAAAGCAAAAGTGTACAGTTTGAGAGCCACAAAAAGCCACCCCAAAATGCTCGATTTTTCATGTTGAGTCATAAATATTTATTTTTGCATTTCTTCTTCTTCTGGGAAAATAATAAATATTGCGGAAATTGGAAGAGATTTTCGGTCTCTTCCAAAAATCTCTTCTTTTTTCTCGCCGAGCGCGTTCCGGAGCGCCGGCAGCAAAGAAGACAGCCAAAAGAGGGCTCCTTCAAAGATCTCACAATTAGTTAACACATGGTTCAGCAGAAAATGACACCACAATGCAAAACTCTCGAGGCGTTCTTCTGTGCCCTCTTCAATCACGTGCAAAACCTCTTAAAATCTCTCACACTCCTTTATGCAAATTCACAGCCTGAGCGCGCCTCTTTCACAAGGCGCTTCAGCAAAATATCACATTTTCAAGGGTCTTTCGATGCCATTACATAATGTTTATGAATAAGGGCCGCTCAGAAGAAGAAGATGGAAAAAAGGCGTATGGAAAAGACGTGAAACGAGGCGAATAAGAGCGTGTTTTCTGCCTTGTTACGGCTATTGACAAACAAAATATCCATTTTTTCGCTTTCTATATATTAAAAAAATAATAAATGATTAACAAAACAAATGTACAAGTAAATGATTGGTTCACTTTCTTCTTTTATACCTTCATCTGTCATTCATGCCTAAAGAGATTCCTATAATCAAAAGGTTTTCTGTGTTTCTCTCCTCCAAAATGGAATATTCTATAATGTGAGAAAGTTTTTCTTTTTTTTCTTCTTCTTTTTAGCGATTGACATTGTGTGTGTTTTGTTGATGGTTGTTGGTTGTGAAATTATGGTTAAGATAAGTTTAAGAGGGAAGAGAACAAATTCTAAAAAATAATTCGTTTATACTTTTGTAATATATTTTAAAAACTTTGGAATATTTTTCTCTTGATTTTTTTTTTAAACTCTCTACACAACGTTAAATTGTTTACACTTTGCTGCATTATCCCAGCATTAATCTCGCCTAGCATTTCTATTTTTTCTTTTTTTTTTTTTGATCATTTTGCCATTATCACTTGGGATTCTCATCGTCATATTTTGTTCATTTCTCTATTATCTCGCAAATATCTTCCGTGAAACTGACATTGTTCCGCAATATTACAGTATTTTTTTTTCTTTCTATTCTCCATTTCAGATTAAAACCTTTTTTTTCTCATCGTCACATGCTAAAAGTTCACTTTTTGTGTATAATGTACAAATATAAATAAAATAGCCTACATTTTTTTCTGGACATCAATTCTTTGTCATTACTAATTTTTTTTATGTGATTTTTATCATCTCTTTTCTTTCTATTTAGTGTTTTGTATAATCCTAAGACGGAAATTGAATAATTTAATCAACACTTTGCTCCTCACAATCTAGCACTTCTCTCTCTCTCTCTCTCTCTCTCTCTCTCTCTTGCATCACTTCTCTACACCGTGATTCCTTAAGGCCACAAGCAATAATAATTCTTCATTTTTAATATATATCTTGTATATAGTAAATCACTTGTTTGTTCTCCTTATAATCTTGCTCGCTAAATTTAGTAAAATATGTCGGTTTTATATCATCTCCTCTACACAAATACTAACAATCGTGGACATTCTTATCTCGCCGGAAATCCATTCTATGCCACCCAAAATGATGTGGAATTACGTCAGGGATTAGTTGAAAAATTCTATTTTATCATCTGTTAAAATTGAGCATGAATCTTGTCGTCTAACGTGACGGTATTAATAGTAGTGGTTCAATTAAAAATATTTAGTACTACTTTAAGTTCTTCTTTCCCTTCACTCTTCTCACATTCTCCGAAATACATTTTCCTCATGATTCTCTCTTCTCTTTCACAATTATTTACCAGGGATATTATTTCATTAAACAGTGACAGTGTGCAAGATAAATGAATTTTGCTCTTGTGTCCTAACATCATCCCTCTTTTTTCACATCTCTCTCTCTCTCTCTTCATCATTAAAATGAATACCTAATTTTATCATTTTTAATTGATAATAATAAAATATATTATGTAAAAAAAAACACAAAGAGAGAATTGTCGAAAGTAGACTGTTTTTTTGTGTCTGTGTGAAAATTGTCCATTGTTCCCTCCGCTTTTTTTCTGGGGGTCACGCGCGGCTCCCGATGGCCTCTTTCTTTCCTCGAGTTCATAAAAATGGATTAGTTGAATGGGTGGAAGTGGTCTGAAAATACACAACAACGGGCAATCAATTATAAATTTGACAAACTCATCTCGGCGCGCGCGCCTCTGAATTAATTACAGCGAAAGGGTTGAATGAGAAGCTTCCAGCGCCATTGTTGAACTGCGGGGGCGCTTCCGTGGGCTTCGCGTAGCCATTTGTGAAGCCATTCGTCGTCGCGAAAGCGGCGCCCAGCGGGGGCGTCGTCCCACTGAACACCCCCTCGCTTTGCGCCCACTGAGCGCCGCCGCCGCTGGCCTGGAAGGGATTCTTGAATGGATTCGGACTGCCGCCCATAAAGTTCGCCGGCACTTCGCGCTCCTTCGCATCCCGCAGCTGCTCATCCAGATCCTTGAGGGCGGCATATCTGTCGGCGGACGGCGTCGAGTTGAGCGACGAATTGGATGCGAATCCTCCACTGGACGAGTTCAAGCTTGTGCTTGAGCTCAGCGACATGGGAAGACCTGCAAGAGTGTTCAGAAGTCTTAGCGAAAAACACTTTGGGATTAGACTTAGATCGCAGAGAATCCGTCAGCTTCAGAGCAAAGATGTTGTATCTGCATAAAAACCTCTTTTCAGACACTAAACTTTTGTCTTTGAATGATTTTTACTCAAAATTTATTAAACTGTAAGCTTATGCTTAATTTGCTTCTTATTTCTTTAGCACAACAGAAAACATGCTTTTCTTTTGCGATATTGAACAAAGTTAAACTAAACAGAAAAAAAATAAGGTGGAAAAAATTTAATAAATTCTAACAATGCAAAAACCACTAAATCGTCAAAATGCAAATACTAACTTTTCTCTTTCTTAAAGCCAAAGATTCATAGAGTGCGAAATGATAAAACCAAAGAAAAAAAAATCATCAAGCACGACTGAAAAATCAAATTGAATTGCTCTACACGCAATTGCAGGAAGTTGTTGGCGAAATAAAAATAAAAATAAGGTGGAGAGGCAAGTATAAAACCCAAAAAAAAGAGCAAAGCAATTGATAACGGGCGAAAAGTTTCCTTGGGGTAAAGAAACGAGTGAGAGAGAGCAATTGAAATGGGGTGTTGTGACCACACAAAGCCACTCTCAAAACACACAAATACACGAACGCTCCAAACTTACTCCATCGATTCTGTTCCGGAGGCTGTAAAGGCCATTGGAACTGCTGCCAGAAACTCCACTGTGTCGACGGTGGAGGTGGTGTTTGGTAGGCTAAACAAGAACAGAACCATTGTGAATTAAGTGCTATGTTTTGCCGCCTCCCCCCCCCCCCGAGAACACCCGCCCTAATGATTTATTCACACTACATTTGAGCGAAAGGCGCCCTCGCAAAGGCAAATGCCACGGAATATTATTCAGAAGCACCAACAACCATTCCACCGGACCACTCAGCCATCAAACAGGCCACTTAAGCGCCTTATAAGATCCACTGGAATGCAATGAATGCATTGATTGCAAGTCTCTATGAAATTTTCACAAATCTCGCCAGGATTTTGCCAAATAATGCATTCACAATTTGCCACTTTGTGACTGAATTCTCAGCGATTTCACAGTGTCGATTCTAACTGAATCCATTGTCATTCATTTATGTTTTGTGATATAAAAATCTAATCTAAAAAAAAACCGCGCAGTTCAATTTCACAGCGAATCGTGTGATGCAAGAGTTATGCATTTGATATAACGCGACAAAATCATTTTATACCAACAAAATCTCATTCGTTTTTAACCCAGATTGAAAGAGAGCAAAATCCCATGGGAAGAGTCACATTTTTCCAAACACACACACACACACAATTCCAAAAGCTCAACTCCAAATGAGAGTCACATTTGACGATGTATTTTATGCATTTCCTCACGCCCCAAATAACCCCCAGGATGAATCGTAAAATCATGCCATAAAACGGTTCAGGTTCAATTCACCCAATTTGCCCATCATATCACGACAAACAAACACAAGCTCAGAGAGTTCAGGAGATGAGAGACACGCCAGGACAATTTGCAGATGGCAAATAGACGAGTGAGATGGAGACAAGGAGGAGTGGCTCCTGGGGGAATTTAGGCTTACCTGCTGAATTGTAAATGGTGTTGTGCTCGAAATCGGCAAAATTCTCATTGACTCCGCCATTCCCATTGACCTGCTGTTGACCAGATGATGCTGATGATGGATTGTTGGTGCCATTGGCAATTTTGCCTGGACTCTTGGCCGTTGTATTCACCATTGTTGCACTCGATGTTGCATTAAATATAGTGGCCGATCCGAAATCAGCCACAAAATCTGTGTCCGGTGTGAATTTATGATTATTATTATTTGCCACTATTCCACTGAGATTGCTGCTGCTTGTTGTGTCACTCGTGAGGCCGTTTTGATGTCCACCGACGCTATTATTGTTATTATTATTTAACCTAGTTTGACTATTGCCCAAGTTAAATAAACTCGTCTCACTATCTGGCGTGAACTGATGCTGGAAATTCACTGTGCCTTTCGTCGTTGAGCGCGCACTCTTATTATTGTGCAGACGCAGCGATTGCGGGGGCGTCAGTGTGATTGATTTCAAGACAGCTGTATTGTCCAGCGTCACACTATTCGTTGTCGTCGCCACTGACGTCGTGGTAGTCGCAGATGGTGTCAATTGCTGGGACGATGCGAGCGATTTCAGCGGACTCGCCGGCTCCAAGTAGTATCTGCAAAGATTGCCACAGCCAACACAGAGGCATTTGTTAGAGAAAAAAGTAGGAAGATTCTCCATTTCCGCCTCTGATAACAACACAGGCAAACAAACACACAAATCGCACATTTCACGAGGGAAAAACGCCACATCTTCATATCCACCTTTTCTCTATATATTCAATTTCCAGCACTTTCTGTGCATTTCCACATCTTGTTTACCCCCACAAGGACAATAGCAATATAAACTTCACCATCACCAACCATTGTTTATGCATTCTATGTTTGGGAGCTTAACAAACTTCATTTCAATTTGCCAAAATTAAAATTCACATAATCGACGCTAACAATCTGACAAACTTTTGCCAAAATTCTTCTGCAAGTTTCCCATTTTATCAGATACTTTTTCTCAGTTTCCCCGACAATTCTCGCTCCAGAAGTTTGTCTTTGGATAGTAGAGTGAAAAACAAAGGCAAAGCGAATCTGGTTTTTAATCCATTTGCAAAATCTGCTTTTCTCATAAGTTTCTAACTAGTTTATTCCCCAAAAATACCGAAAAACAACAACAGAGCATGGAACAAAAAACTCACCTCTTTCGCTCGTATTTGTCAATCATCAATTCACGCTGATCGTGCGGTCGAGTCCTCTTGGGATCCCACAAGCCCAGCCAAGTCTTAGCGCATTCGTCATTCCCGTGACTGCGTATAAAATCAATCTCATCCGGTGTGAATGTGGCCATTGAGATTGACTTGACGCGATGCGGTGGCGTAATTCCCCGTCTGAAAGACGAGACAGAGAGAAAGAAGAGAGTGTGAAAATTGTATTAATTGAATCATAACTAATAATAATATCACATAATAGCAACTATATATTTTTTCGGTTACAATATTAAATTGATGATACCTAATCATGTATAGGATTTCAAACGATGAGAAGAGAGAGAGAAATACGCCACATTTCCTGCCATTCACATTCATCATCATAATATGATTTTATTGTTAATTCACATGCTTCCAAGCCACTCATGCCTTATCTTGTTATGGTGCCCAGACAGTCGATTAAATTCAGGAAAATGTTTCATCGATATTTCCACCGCACAAACATCCACTACGTGCGGTTCTTCCTAATCCCTCCACTTCTAGAGACACACGTGCACTTATCGCTTAAGGGAATCGATTCACTCTCATGACTCGGAAAACCCACATTTTAAATGTTCAATTAAATATTCACTATTAACATTGCGAGACATGTCGATGTTGTGGCCAAATAACCAAATAAACATTTTCCCATGCATTGCAATTACAATCTGATGATTGAACTCTACGTGAAATGCATTCATGATCATCATAAATATGCACTGAAGAGATCTTCTTACAAGAGAATCTCACAAAATAGATTATGCAAGAGTCAAATTGTCCCAAATGCAAATCTATCGCACTCATTGGCATACTATTGGGTCATCTCAACGTCTTCCCGTCATAGGAGTTTGTTGAAGGCAAAAAAAGGGCGATTTAATCCATTTTTATCCCTCGTCTTGAGCATCTTGAATTTATTGTAGCGATAAAAACAGCAGGGAAAAAGAGGTCTTATCTCAAGCGGCACACAAAAACTTGTGAGAATACATTTTCTTTCCCCACTCACTAACTCTATATCTGCAATCCAGCATCTCTCTTTCTCTCTCCTCGTGCCTCTTCTCATATACATAACAGGCAAATGATTTCCCGATGAGATCAATGATGGTGACAACCTTGACTTAAATCATATGCAAATTGTATATCAATTTGCATTTTTCTCACACACCAAATCGCAATGGCGCAAGAGAGATAGACTCTCTCTCTCTCTCCGTTTGTCTACTATTTCCTTCTTAATTTCTTTCCATCGCACGTCCAACAGAACAACTCTCGTCAATCGCCTCCAAATGAGGTCAATGGGTTCACAATATTGGATACAATAGTTTACAATTTTCCTCTCTTTGCGTCACCATCGCCATTTGGAGGAATTTGCATTTTAAAACACTGTCATTTCTCTCTTTTCTCTTTGCTTGTGATTCTTGTCTTTGGAAGAAAAGACAACTTTTCCTACTATCTCTCTCCTCACAATCACTTTATCATTCAATTTGTGACAATAATCGATCTCTCCTGTCATTCCATGCAATGTCAACATGTTGACTCTTCTGTTACACATTCCTCTTCAGCAATTTTAGCCTCATTTCCATTCAATTTTCCTTTCAATCAGCATTTGCATTTCCTCCCACTCTTGCGTCACAAATTCCATATTTCCCTATCGAAACTGCTGAAGGCAGCATGAGAATTGTCGAATCTTTCTTTCTGTCTTCTCCCCAAATTTTTTTCCTCCCCCCCAAACTTACGAGGGTCTCGAGAAAACAAAGAGAAAATCGACTCTGCACAAGACACAAATTGAGCTCATTTATACCCATGTAAAAAATAACTCAATTTGCATGACCGAAAAAGTCACGGGATCTCTTATTAGCGTTGATGTGGTTAAATTATTTGTAAGATTTCACCCTCCTCCGCTCTCTTCTCTCACTCCATTCGCACAAAGTACTCTCGAAAAAGTTCATGGACAAGCAAAAACACACCTACTCTCAATTATTATTTGTCTCCAAAGGGAATTTTTGATTAAATTACACAGAATAATGATCTCTCTGATGTTTTTGTGGCAATTCAAGAGAATAGAAACAGGAGAAAGAGAGATGATTTGGAAAGAATAATTCATCCATTCCCAGTGTACACTTTATTCCTCGTGCAATCTACATGCAATAAAATCTAATTCATTTGCAAATTTATCAAGTGGGAGTGTTTTTTTTCACATCTCTTTCTCTCTCTATGTCTCACACGCTCACACCTTTTCAGAAAAATCCACAAAATGCCATATCTCGTGAGTATTTGTTTACACACGAGAGCATTTGCAGATGAAAAGCCCGTACAATTAAGCACGCTGCAGAAAAAGCGAGCCCAATAAATTTAGAGGCAGGCAGAGAAAAAAAAGAGTGCCCAAGAAAGAGTCTCGTAAAACGTGTTGTTTTATTTACTAAACCATTTTGCAGTATCGCCATAAAAATAAAGTGTATTGTGTGCGCGCCGTTGTATCACATTGGAAACACATGTTTTTCTACAATCCTCGTCACTTTTGAATGCTTTTCTTTCACATCCAAAGGAAAAACCGTTCAAATTGCGAATTTTCCACCCAAAATGACTCGACTTCTTTCATCAAACCAATATTCTCTCTCTCCAAATAGCAGCGAGATCATCTCCAATCATTGAGTGGTGGAAAAATGTTTTCAAAAATCAGTCGTGCAAATAATTTATAAATGTGTGCACAATTCTCCTCACAACATTACATACATATATATCGCACAGGCTTTAGACACACTCGGAGTTTCCAAAATAATTGATGATTCATGGAGTTGAAGGAGGAAGAGTAAATAAATCTTTTGAAAAAAACTTATTCTACACACATACGCGGAAAATGTATTACAAAAATATGCCTTCAGATTGCTGATGGGTGGTTCTCTATCATGACTTTTTATTTATACCATCAACTCCAACCTTATATACTCTGTCCGTGTTATTGTTGCAAAGAAGTGACGGAAGAAAAACACTAAATAGAGACGTTAGCGCAGAAAAAGTGCCGCGAACCCAGCTGACGAACTCGTTCATGGCTTCAGCCATGCCATGAGAATGGCTTTATAAGTAGCTTAAAATCATCGCGTCAAATTCTGATTGTCAATTTGCATTACGAACATTATTCAATCTACAATTAATTACATATTCCTCGGGATTACACAATATCTCACGATTAAACATTAACCCAATTAATTACATTTATGCTTTATCAATAGAATATGAAATCTTGATGAGTATGTGAAAGAATTTCCCAAGATAAAAGCATAAGGAGTAACATTTCAGAGGAATTCCGAACGAATTCTTCACACAATTGAATCATCAAATTACTTCTTTTGATGTCACAAAATGCGATTACTTCTGTAAATGTGACAATTTCGTGTGGGTTTTGCACTTAACAATATCTCGGATTTCCTCCAAAAATTCGCTGTTGTCAAATTATTGGATTACAACCTTTGTCAACAGCGAAGAAGGTGAATCATTTTGGTAAGTAAATTTAATAAACCCAAACTGATCAACAGGAAAAGGCGACGTCTTCCTGGTCTGTCGGGTGGCATTGTTTGCCATCAGCGTCAGCAGAACACAATAATAATAATAAAATAGTAAAAATAAATAAAAATAGACTCACAGAGAATTTTCAATCTCCAGCACAGAAATAATTGATTGAGACAAGATGGAATAATTACACTGAGAACGTGAGACGCTTCAATTATCACTTCCACAACATTTTGGAGTGCTTGAAGTGCAGCTCAAGTCACTCGACAGTCTTGACATATAAAGTCACTCCATCTCAGAATGGCCCTCTCTCAATTGGCTCTACAACTTGTACATTCTCTCACACTATTTCTCACCCCACAAAACCACTCTTCTTAATCCCTTTTTAATCACAAACTCTCTTGTAAGTGTGAAAAGTTTTCACAAGGAAAACGCTCTGCGGAGCAAAACTTCGACACTCTCTTTCTCTCTCTCTCTCTCATCCTCCATCAACCCAACTTCTTTCGGCCAGAAGGAAAGTTTGCAAAGTCTCCCAATATTTGTAAGCACGCGAGACTTTTCTCTCGCACTTTTTTCCTCCCCACTTCTCTCATTAATATTTTCCCCATTACGCCGAGAGTCTCACTTTTTCCTCCCTTCACTTAGTTTTTTCCGTCTCCTTCTCTTAACATATTGATTTTTTCTCACCATCACACAGGCCAAATGCCCTCCATTAGAAGCCATTAACAGGTGAGAAGGTGGCATAAAAAATATCTCACAAAATAATTACTCTAATTGAATCGTTTACTACACACACAATCAACCCCCGCAGTGTGTCTCATTGCATGAAACTCCCACTGAATTGTCACCTTGCAATGTCTTCACGATGCCTGAAAAGTGCCGGAAAATGTGCAACAAAATGATCATAAGTTCCATCGTGCTTTTCAGCATCCAGCCAAGGCTTTATTTATGCGTTTGCCTTTTTAGTGGGGAAATAAGATGGAAAAACTAATATATTATTTTAATTAACAATGAAAGTTTCTGCAATAAATTCACAGCAGGAGACAAAACTTCAAAAAATACAACTATTGCCATTGTTTAACCATTGTTCTCCGAATGCTCCATTATTATTCATATAAATGCCATTACACTTTTGGCATTGTGCAAGAGAATCCCATTGAGATATTCTTCGTGGTGTTTAGAAGTTATGATTGAGTCTTGTTGAATAAATTTCCCACTCATTTTCAACACATTTTCTCTGTCATCTCAAGCAGAATTTCCACCTGAAATACAACAGAAAGAGAAAGAGCGAAAGTAGAACTCACAAACTCTGATGTTTTCTCAACTAATTTTCTATTATTTTAAGTTTGCAAATTCCATTAAAAAAGCCAAAAAAGCACTCTGAAAGTTCGTGATTTTCACGCAAACAAAACCCCACTGAAATCACCTCTAACTATCAGTGGGTGGAAGTTAATGAAAGACACATCATATTCTTCCACAGTGAAATATATTTTTCCGAGAATTATTGAAGGAGAAACCAATGTCTTCTGAGCTTTGAGCTGAAGAAATACAGTAAAAAAACACACCTCAATTAACACGAGAGACTTGCTATTCATCCTCTCTACAGCAAACACCGACAGTCGCGCATAATCTTGATAGAA